GGAGGAAATCATGGATCTTATAGGACGAGTGTGGAATCAAGATGATCGTCAATCTGTGATAGCCAAAATCTCCAACTGTCGCCGGAAGATTATCCGATGGACTAAAGACCAGAACATGAACGGTGCTAAGCTCATTTTAGAGGCACAGACGGAGCTCGAGGCAGCTCTCTCGGCCGATTCGCCTAATCCAGAGCTTATTGGGAAATACACAGGTATCCTGGAAAAGGCGTACAAAGAAGAGGAACAGTTCTGGAAACAGAAGAGTTGGATTCTTTGGCTGCAGAGTGGCGACAGAAACACAGGATATTTTCATGCAGTTACCCGCAACAGACGGACCTGTAACCGCTTTACAGTGTTAGAGGACTCACACAGAGTGGCTTTCCACAAGGAACGGGACTTCACCAGAATCATCTCTGGTTACTTTCAGGACATATTCTCTTCGCAAGCCACAGCCAATCCTGGTCTATTGGATGAGGTTATAAGTCCTTTGGTTACTGAGGATATGAACCGTATCCTTACGCGTATCCCGGATACAGAGGAAATCTATGCAGCGTTGAAGGGCATCCATTCGAGCAAAGCTCCGGGACCTGACGGATTCTCGGCTGGTTTCTTTCACACATACTGGCCCATTATTGGACAGGATGTTGCGAAAGAAATCCAGGAGTTTTTTATTTCTGGAGTCTTCCCTACCCGACAAAATGAGACTCATGTTCGACTTATCCCGAAAATCTCAGGACCCAGGAATGTGGCAGATTATCGTCTGATAGCACTGCGCAATGTCTACTACAAAATTGTAGCAAATATCCTCACCAAGAGACTGCAGGCCTTCCTCCCACTACTTATTTCAGAGACCCAGTCTGCCTTCGTCCCCCATAGAGCTATTTCTGATAATGTCCTCATCACCCACGAGACCCTTCACTATCTTCGGACTTCTGAGGCGAAGCATCGCTGTTTCATGGCTGTTAAAACAGACATGAGCAAGGCTTATGACAGGATAGAATGGGACTTTCTTGAAGCAGTGATGGCTAGATTGGGTTTCCACGCAACATTGATCTCTTGGATCATGGAATGTATCACGTCGGTCTCGTACTCCTTTCTCATTAACGGAGGTCCTCAAGCGAAGGTGGTACCATCCCGAGGCCTACGGCAGGGAGACCCCCTCTCGCCATACCTGTTTATCCTCTGTACGGAAGTTTTAGCAGGTATGTGTCGCAGGGCCCAAGACGATGGCTCGCTACAAGGTATTCGAGTGTCGAGAAACAGCCCCCCAGTTAACCACCTGCTATTTGCAAATGACACCATGTTCTTCTGCAAATCGGACAGGGATAACTGTTATACTCTGGCATCGATTCTCAAGAAATACGAAGCGGCTTCTGGTCAATGTATCAACTTCAGCAAATCCTCAATTTTCTGCTCGGCGAAGACTCCTCGATTCCGACGTATCGCTGCCCGACGAATTCTGAATATCCATAACGAGGGAAGAACTGACAAATACCTGGGTCTTCCAGAGAATTTTGGACGCAAGAAGAAAGATATATTTGCAGGACTGGTTGACTGCATCCGACAACGTTCTCATAGTTGGGCATCTCGTTTCCTCTCTGCCGCTGGAAAACAAATCCTGCTCAAATCAGTCCTGGCAGCTATGCCAGTACATTCTATGTCTTGTTTTAAGCTCCCAAAATCTCTCTGCAAACAGATCCAATCTGTTCTCACAAGATTTTGGTGGGAAGATAAAGCAGACATTCAGAAGATGTCCTGGGTTTCATGGACTAAGCTGTCAGCACCAAAAAATGCAGGAGGATTGGGATTTTAGGATATCGAAATGTTTGCTCGCAAAGTTAGGGGCGCGCCTCATCTCTCACCCACACGTTCTAGCATCTCGAGTCTTGCTGGGCAAATATTGTGCCTCTACGCATTTCATGGAGTGCACCCTGCCCTCGAACTCGTCTCATGGCTGGAGGAGTATCATGGCAGGTCGTGCAATCCTTCGAAAAGGCATGGGTTGGTTAGTTGGTAATGGCGAATCCATCAATATTTGGACTGACCCCTGGCTTAGCACGGAAATTCCGCTTCGACCGTTTGGCCCCCCACCTCTTGCACTCATTAACCTCCGAGTTGTGGATCTCATCGATCCCGTCCACCTGACTTGGAATTGGCAAATGATTCGGACAGTCCTTCCCGGCTATGAGCAGCATATCCGACGACTTCCACTGAGCTCTTCCCGCCCTTCAAATAGACTGGTATGGCTTCCCCAGAAAAATGGGAAGTATTCTGTTCGATCTGGATATGGTTTATCGGTCTCCGAGACCATCCCAGAAAGACAGAGAAATTTCAACTGGCAAAAGAACATCTGAAAGCTCCAAACAATACCTAAAGTGAAACAATTCCTATGGAGAGCAGCTGTGGAGGCCCTTCCTGTAGGAGTTGAATTAGTGCGTCGGGGTATTCAAGTGGACTTTGCTTGTAAGATTTGTGGGAATCCTGAGACGATCACCCATGTCTTGAGAGACTGTCAATTAGCCAGGGAAGTCTGGAACCTAGCTCCACTTCAAACGCAATCTCACCTAAATACGGTTTTATGCTTAGACTTCCTAGCTCACATCCCTTCGATGGTAAGCCTCCCCCCGACAGGAGTCTCGACCAGCTCTCTTCCCGCTTGGATCTGCTGAATCTATGGACTGCTAGGAATCACCGTATTTTCTCGGACACGACCTACTCTGCGTACGAAATCATCACCAAAGCTATTTGTGATGCGAGGGCGTGGCAAGAAGCACAGAGTTCCCTTCGCAAACCTCAGTCACCCCAGGTAGTGACCTCTCCTCCTCCTCCCACACTAAGCGTCATCTGCAATGTGGATGCAGCTTGGCACGCAGACTCAGGTCACTGCGGTTTGGGGTTCACCTTTCGCCCCCTGGAGGAGGACCGGCCACTACAGCACTCTGCCTCGCGTCGTTTAGTCATGTCCGCGCTTGCAGCGGAAGCATGGGCTCTCCGCGAAGCGCTGATCTCTGCTGTTGATGCCGGTTATGCGAATCTGCAGGTTCGTTCGGATTCTCAATCTTTAGTGAATCTCCTTAATTCGCAGGACACACACAGAGATTCACGCTATTGTTAACGATATACGCCTCCTTGCGTTATCCTTTTCTCTGATTTCTTTCATCTTTGTCCCTCGTACTGATAATGTCGAGGCTGACACTCTTGCGAAAGATGCTCTCAGAGCTTTATTGTATCACGTTGAATGATTAATGAAATTCACAGTTCGACCAAAAAAAAAAAAGAGTAGGGGGCATATGATCCCATACTCTCTTCTCTGCCTCTGCCCTTGAGTACAGTTGCATAATTTTTCTTGTTAGAAACATGATTCTCCACTTTCCCACCAAAATATGAGTTTTACATTACCTGCCAAACCTCCATCATTCTTCCCGTCAAAAGTTACAGATCCACAATTATCCTGCCAAAAACATGGATATGTAATTTCACGCTTAAAACACAATCTCTGATTTTTTTGCTAGAAATGCAGTTTACAAAAATTACCGCCAAAAATAAATCTATCATCTTTCTCGCCATAAATTACAAGTCCTGTATAATTTTTCTGCCATAAGAAAAATTATGTAATCCCCCCTCTCCTAATTGTGCTTTTAGTTATATTTTCTGTCATAAATATTTTTTTTATTTTACAACAGAAAACTATAGTTCTACGTTTTTTTCCTAAATCCATGGTTTTATATTTTTTTTTTCCGTCAAATGCGGTTTTCACAATTTTTTGCTAAAAAAAAAAATCCATCATTTTCTTTGAAAACTGTGGTTCCATAATTTCTGCCAAAAACACGGTTTCTAATTTTTTCTGTCAAAAACATGATTTTTGATTTTTCTTTTTTTCACAAAAACACGATCTTTCATTTCTTTGTCAACAAAGAAATGCAGATTTTACAAATTTTCTCGCCAAAAAGATAATTTATAATTTTTCTGTCTAAAATTATAGTTCCACAATTTTCTTGCCAAAACATATTTCCATAGTTGTTTTCAACAAAAACAAGATTCTACTATTTTTTCATAAAAATATATTTTTTACAGTTTTTTCTACTAAAATCGTGAATCATCATGTTTTGTCAAAATATGATTACATTATTTTTGCCAAAAACATGGTTTTCATATCTTCTTGAATTATGATTCCCGTTTATAACAATTTTCATATCTCTTTGGATTATAACTTTTCAACGCTAATACTAAAATCTAGAACAAGTATTGAAAACATTAACAATGATGATTGACCATCGGAGAAATACCTCGGAAAATAATATTATGGTAACAAATGGATGCCAGTATAGTGTAAAAATGGTGATTCAATAAACACGTACATTTGTTGTATAAAAATTATTAAAAGGAATTTTACATTCAGTTAAAAAAATGGTTATCTTGACTTAAAAAAATTATCTTTTTAACTTAACTGTTTCTCTACTTTCAACCTCCATGTCGTAGTTGTTAACTCAGATTCTTCTGTATTGACGTAGAAACCTCACAAATCATATACATAATAACCATACTACATTATACCATAGGGATATTTATCTTCTAACATAAATAAATTTATCACGAAATACTATTAATTTAGAATATCTAGTTCAAATAATGATGTCAGATTTACATCAATCAACTGCAATTTTTTCGAGGGGCATATTTTGAAAATTAAAAACAACTATTCGCAGAAAAAGAAGACAAGAATCTACAACTACAAGAAAGTTATTATGACAGTTATAAATAGGAAAATAAAAAAGGTAAATCAATTTCCTTTTATAATTGCTCTAGATTGCGGTTGTACCACGGCTCTGCTCTTGCTTTTAAGAACTTGCCGGTACTAAATTTCATATAATCCAATTGAAATCAGGCTCGAAACCCCAAAATATTATTTTATTTTCCAAAAAATAATTAGAAAATTATATTTTTTAAAAAGAATTTTTATTTAATTTAATTTCCTTCAATTATTATGACACTCCCGTGTTCCTAATCTCCTCTGTTCTTGACTTCTTTCCTTCTCTTCTTCCTCTCTATCTCTCTCTCAAATACTCTTTTAAGCTTACAAATTATTAAAGAACTCATAAAAAATCAATCCTTTTTGGAATCAGGAGAACAAAATGAAGAGAGAGCATAACCACCAAGAATCCTCCGGCGGAAAAGTTGGGACCAGTAAGGAAGAGGCCGGAGGATTCGACGAGCTTCTTGTGGTTTTGGGTTACAAAGTCCGATCTTCCGACATGGCTGACGTGGCACACAAGCTTGAGCAGTTAGAGATGGTTCTTGGCGACGGAATCTCGAATCTTTCCGATGATACTGTTCATTACAATCCTTCTGATATCTCTGGTTGGGTCGAAACCTTGATTTCGGATCTTAACCCGACCCGGAATCAAGAAAAACCCGACCTTGATTCCGAGTACGATCTCAGTGCGATTCCTGGCTCCGCAGCGTATCCACGTGGCAAGAGGACGAGAATGGGATCCGATTCGTCAACGACACGTCCCATGGTGGTTATGGATTCTCAAGAAACAGGAGTGCGTTTAGTCCACGCGCTTTTGGCTTGCGCAGAGGCGGTTCAACAGAACAATTTCAAGCTAGCCGACGCGCTCGTTAAGCACGTTGGCTTACTCGCCTCGTCACAAGCTGGTGCGATGAGGAAAGTCGCGACTTATTTTGCCGAAGGTCTTGCGAGGAGGATTTACCGTATTTACCCTCGTGACGACATCGGTTTATCGTCGTTTTCGGACACTCTTCAGGTTCATTTCTACGAGTCTTGTCCGTATTTGAAATTTGCGCATTTCACGGCGAATCAAGCAATGCTTGAGGCTTTTGCCACGGTGGAGAAAGTCCACGTTATTGATTTAGGGCTTAACCAAGGTTTACAATGGCCGGCTTTAATCCAAGCTTTAGCCGTTCGACCAAATGGTCCACCGGATTTTCGGTTAACCGGGATTGGATCTTCGTTAACCGGTGAGTCAATTCAAGAAGTGGGGTGGAAACTCGGTCAGCTTGCGAGTACGATTGGTGTCAATTTCGAATTCAAGAGCATTGTTTTAAACAATTTATCTGATCTTAAACCGGAAATGATCGAGATCCGACCCGGTTTAGAATCTGTAGCGGTTAACTCGGTTTTCGAACTCCATCGCCTCTTGGCTAATTCTGGTTCGATCGAGAAGTTTTTGTCAGCGATTAAGTTGATTGAACCAGACATCATGACAGTGGTCGAGCAAGAAGCAAACCACAACGGAGCCAATTTTCTCGACCGGTTTACCGAGTCGCTACATTACTACTCGAGCTTATTTGACTCACTAGAAGGCCCACCGAGTCAAGACCGAGTGATGTCTGAGCTCTACTTAGGTAGGCAGATACTGAATTTAGTGGCCTGCGAAGGTGAGGACCGCGTGGAGAGGCACGAGACGTTAAATCAGTGGAGAAACCGGCTCGGTTCGTCAGGATTTAAACCGGTTAATATTGGTTCGAATGCGTTTAAGCAAGCGAGTATGTTGTTGGCACTTTATGCTGGAGCTGATGGGTATAAGGTGGAGGAGAATGAAGGTTGTTTGTTGCTCGGATGGCAAACGCGACCGCTAATCGCTACATCTGCGTGGCGTTTCAATCGTGTGGAATAATTGAAATTATATAAATTTCAGAAGTGAAAATTGTTGCTATAAAAAGTTATTGCATTCGCTGCTAAAAGTCCCACGTTTTTTTCTAATTTTTATGAACTTTTTACTTGTTTATTTTTCTTCCTTAAAATTTTGACATCGCACAAGTAGCCTTATTGATGTAAATGTCACGTGCGCTCATTTATATTTTGCAAAAAAGAGCACTTGGGAAAGAAAAGTTTCTTTTTTATCAGCCTAATATACTGGCGTATCGTGAAACAAAAATGAAAAAAAACGGATTTTCAAATACATTTTGTATTTGTTATCTTTTGATGTATTTGCATAAAGTCGCAATAGAAAACAATGGTGCGTATCGAAAGTCACGAATCCAATGACCATAGAATAGAGATAAATGTAGTTTCGATATAAAAAAAATTGTGTATCAAATTTTAAACCCATGTCAATTGTGAAACGAGACGATGGCTTTTCATATTGCTAAGAACATCACTTCCTGATCAAGATTCAAAACAATATACACATAAAAACACTTAGACAACAACATCAATCCTATACCAATATCAATTAAAATCTTTGATTGTTGATTGTTTGCATCACCAAGCATCTGTTAACATTTTTATAAACCATCTAAAAATATCTTCATATATTCTAAGCTATCTGCATAGTAACATAGAAAGGGATGTTAAATGATGTAAAGGAAAATAATCTGAAAAGGAAATAAAGAGATAAGAAATAAATTGTTCTTGAGTAAAAGAAACAAACAGAAGCATTCACAATATTTAGCATGAAATGATATAAAATACAAATGAAGAAATTACTTTCTAATTTATCTCGCACATTTGAAATTTATAACTAGTTTTCAACCCAAAAATAGTTTTTTTTAAAACTCAATTCATCTAGTTGATCATAATTTTTGGTATTTTAAATTTTTATTTAGGTTTTTTTTTTGTTTTATTGATTCCGTTATTTTATTATTCAGCTATTTTGTTATTTAGTTGACATACCAGTCAATCTTAATATAAGTAAAAAAAAATCAGAATAAAGAAAATAAAGAAATTCTTATTTTATTTTAGATGATCGTATATTTGGTTGAACGTGTTTTAAATTTTTTACTAGTACATACTACATCTTGCAACTTTTATGAACTATCTATCAGTAATTTTTTACTAATGCAACAAAAAAAGAGTACTATCTTTCATACTCTGTAAGTTACTCACTTCTGTCATTGTCAGCGTGTTTCAAAATCAGTGATGATATGTTTTGAATAAGTTATCTAGAAAAGAAAAAAAAATATTATTTTACGAGAAAAGCTTTAATTTAGTTTGGCGTTGATGTATTGGAAACGGCTCTTCCAGTCTCCAACGCTATCTAGATTTTATATATTACATGCATCAAATTTCATCTTATAAACAATAATAGTATAGTATAATTTGTGAAATCCTTATGTTTGACCATGCAAAAACTAAAATGTAAGCACTAAAAAAAAAAAAAGTGTAAGACAAACAAAGACAAGTAGCGTAATGGTTTAGGTTAATAATGCCATTTCGCTACCAATGAAATTTAAATTTTACATAATGTTCTATAGTATTTGCAACTGTAACAAAAACAAATTATTGGCAAAAGGAAGATGTGAATTCGATCAGTATCTTTAAAGCATGCATTATCTTCATATACGATCTATTAATAAGTGAAAAACGTAAAAATGTTCAAAAAAAAGAATTAGTGAACAATATGTTAAGAAATTTAGATGGATTTCTAATATCATAATTCCTCTTCTATAGAAAGATTCAATCTTACAAAATACCAGCAATAGTAATATGTAAAATAATAAACAATGAAAATTTATTAAATGTTTCAAAATGGTATATCTTCCTTTTGTTTCATAATATAAGTTGTTTTAAGAATGGTTTTTTGTTTTAATTTATGTGTCATTTTTAATTTTCAATGCAATATTTTTAGATAAAATTTGATTTTATTATATTAATGTAGTAATAAGAGAGAACAAATTATATAAATATTAATAAGAAGAATTTTTAATATTTTTTTAGTATGTGTCAAATAACTTTAAATGACTTATATTATAAACAAGATAGAATAATAGTTAAAAATATTCATATTAAAAGTTGTAGGAGTAACGCTTTTAAGACATTTGATCGCACTCTAATCATAACTGATCATCATATCTTAAATGATAAAAAAAAATTATCAGATTTTCTTAGATTTTGGATATTAGTTTGGATCCATAGATTAGAAAGAAAAAAAAAGTAAAACGATAAATGTTTCATGACATGAACAAGTCATCAAGTTTTCTTGTGAATAATGCTAAGACCAAGGATATTAAATTTGATTGGTTAAAGGGTCATTATCTTCCTAGTTAAGGAGGGCAGTGGTGTGTTTAAAATGTATTTGTGCTCCTTTGATGTTGATTTAACTAGGATTCTTGTTATCACATGTTTACATTATTTATTTATTTTTTAAGAAAACTTTTTTGTAAAATTTCTTAACCAAATTTTTATAGCGGATTTGACTAGTTGAGTAGAAGAAATGCTTAATTACTAAGTTTGATTTAGTGACATTAAACCAATGTTGATACAGGAGAGATATCTTAATTTTTAGCTATGAAATCAAAATAATCAACTTGTTTTTTTTTTTTTTTTCAAATTTCATATGAGGTAGCATCACTGCTCTTTTTTACCTTACAATTTTAATATAACATGTCTTTAAGGAGACAATCTTTTTGCAAAATTATCATAGTAAATAATAAACGATTACCATTATCATTATAAATTAAAAAAAATAATGAAATAAGATGTAGTGTATTTATTTATTTTTTTATTTTTTTGCTGCATGATGAAATCTAATAAAGTTTCATACAATTGATTCCTTACCAAATTTCCTATATATATATATATATATATATATGAGAGAAAAAAACCAACCATTCCTCAAATAGGTGTATAAGCAGTTTCAAGTGTGGATGTATATAGGATATTATACATATATATATATATATTTATTATTTCAGCTTAGAACTCTGGCACTCTGCAACCACAACCTTTTTTTTATAATAAATCTTAAAAGTTCCTGACCTTTTTCCTTTGGTTTATAATTTATTTTCGGTTCTTGTGATCCACTATTGATAATATCACGTTAAACCATAAGTTATTCATTCTAAAATAAAATCAACCAGTAAACTTGAATATTTACTCTCAAAACCACTTGGTTGCAACCACAAGAATTTTTTTTCTTTTCTTGGAATTGCATTTTAAGAACGAAGATTTTAATGGGCATCATTCTCCAAAGCTACCAACAATTTAAGAATTAGTAATTTGTTTTCCACGAAAGAATTATTTCCCTTCCTAAGTATATTATGAAAATGAATTTAAAAAAGAAAGAGTGCATGATACAATTCCATATTTGTTCGGAATGTTTGCGATTTGTTTGACTAAGATGTATTTCAGATTTGACCAAACTCCTTAGCTGTAGGAATGATATGCATGCATGGACGTAGATTTTCGGGGGAATTCGCAAAACTAACTAACATACCAAACTAATACATACCAAACTAATACAGTATAACCTCTATAAATTAATACTCGATAAATTAATACCTCAATAAATTAATACATTTTTTAAGTCCCAAATTAGTTTTTAACTGATTTTTATATTGATAAATTAATAACTCGATAAATTAATAGAATATTGCAGTCCAGACATTATTGATTTATAGAGGTTTTACTGTACTAAGAATCTGTCCATATCATTTAACACACAAAAATAATAACTGTCCATTGCTATTGCCTCTAAAGCTAATTAATATGTGGATTTGGTCAATCCCGTCGATAAATTACGCGTTTCGATGAGACCCGATTACTATATGCTTAGTCTTGTTAAAATTAAATAACAAAATTATCATATTTGCAAATTTAATACACTCTAAACAATTTATGTACGTCGTCACGTTTTCAAAAAGAAAAAGAAGCTAAGATAGAAGACATGATTTGTTTGTTGAAGACATTTCTGAAAAGAATTTGATGGAAACGTTTCAATGGAATTAATGTACTCTTTGTGTGGGAATGAATTGAATTTCAGAACTGATCATGATGGCATCTTTTTGCCCTTGTTTTTGATGAGCATGGCCATACTCACCCTTTTATGAAAAATGCAAATGCCTCAGCCTTATGCCTTAGTGTATTTATAATCTCAATTTTTAGTTTTTATCTATTTTTTAATTCGTTTTAAACCTTCGAAAACTTAGGCATGTCACTGCTCCTAGGCTGTAATCGATTGAAAGGTGGAAGCAGTAAATGTCCATAAAATATGTATAAACAGTTTTCAAAAGTCAATGGCCCGATTAACAACCCTATCCCCCTATGTGTTTTAAAGGCTGTTTATGATTAGAAACCTTAAGTGGCTAACACGGTGGGTGGTTTTGGTTTTGCTTGAGGTTGATCAGGAACAACTGCTTGCACCATATTAGGCGATGACGATGAATGGTGGACTGGTGGAGGCTGTGGCCCGATTAATTAACTTCTGTGTTTAATAAGCTCGTTTCAGTTTAGATACGTTAGGTGATTAAAATAGTGGGGATGAAGTGGTGGATGACGATGAAGTGGTGGAGATTGTGCCAGTAATTAGCTCATAGCCTGAGTAGTCAGGAGAAGTGGCTGTGAAACGAAAGCCTCAGAGAGCAAATAAGAAGCTAGTGAAGTATGTGTTAAGTGATTTTGAGAGCGAGTCTGGGATATTAAGAAATAATATCCCACATCAAAAGTTGGAAATGATATTAAGTAATGTATAAGGGATATGTGTTAATCTATTTATCGTCAATTGATTTTGAGTTAGAAGACTAAAACTTTAATATGAAAATTATTCAAAATTTAATGACAACAAAGAGAAGATGTTGAACAGAGAGAAAGAGAGAACATAACTTAATGTTCTTGAATGGAGATGGTGCAAGGAAGGCAGAATATTACCAATTTTTCATGAATTTTGATATTATTCCACCGCCCCGCATGCACTTCCCCATTCGAATCATAAGCTTTGAATTTAAAAGCATGCAGAAAACCTAGGGTACACAAATTTTCAAGCACTAGTTTAATATAACTATAC